CCCATGAGTGAATTTAGAAATTAAAGGGCACATGAACAGTGAGCGGATTAAGATTACAACAAACTACCTACTAGCGCAACCAAAGGGAGATACGCGCATGTTACTTCAACAAGAAAATGCACACGCGCAAAACAACAACGAAATACATGCATTCTTAAGGGGAAAAAATAACTCTCGGACCACGCATGTTGGGGGGCAATTGTGGAGATATGGTGTGGATTAGAGTGCGCGTGAACCAGCTACAACCGTGACTACGCGCGGAACGCGGATAAAAGCTCAAACCATAGCGTCAAACGCAGAAAACAGGAGGCGCTCACAGACCACCTCCTAATGGAGGGAAATTGTTGAGGATAAGGAGCAGAATAGAGCGCGCGTGAACCGACCACAACCGCGACTACGTGCGGAATGCGGATAAAAGACACCCAACCACACATCTCGGGCATGAAGCGCACGTGAGTATTTGCCCGCAGATTGGAACCGGCGGAACGAAGTTGTATCATTGACGAAGGATAAAGGCTTGAAGCGTCAGGGATGATTTGCCCGCAAAATGAAACAGTCGAAACGACGTCGTACCTCTGAAACTCATAACCTCTAAAACTTAGTGTCTCACTCCTACTACTCAGTTAGGCACAAACATAACTAAACTAAACAACCAACTAAGTAGTTGGAAGGTTGCTAGAGATGAGATGGTTGTCTAGGATAGAATCCTTCTAGTAGAAGGCTAGATAGTTTATTGAATTCTTTGGTCATTCCAGTGAAGAGGTTACTTATGTGGGGAATCGTTGCACTGGTCATGCCTCGCGATTCCCCTCCTACCCAAGTCAACAGACACATTGTCACCTCAGCTGATATTCTGGACGAGCGGTATCATCTACCTTCTATAAATGGGTTCCACCCATCTACACACTAGATGGGCTCCTAATTGACAAAGATGGTCACCTCATCCACCAGGTCGCATTCCACAAGGTCTTCTAATAATGACTACTCATAACCAATCACTTATGCTCAAACAAAGACAACAAAAGTAATCAATGGGTTGAGGTCCCTTATGTTTAGTGGTTTTTGACATATAACATAAAGTAAAGCATACAATAAATAACAAGATAAGTAAATGATACACAGTTGAAAAGGAAGCTCATCCTAGCATGCATTTCAAACTTAATAATGGCATGCAACAATGCAACTTCTCTTATGTAATCTTATTCCTTCCAATAAAGTATTCCTAATCAAGCTTTTGCCATATGCAAAACGAATTGCACCAAGCTAATGCGTGATTTCGCTTTATGCCATTAACTAATACATCAAACTACGAATTGCACCAAGCAAATGCGTGCTTTCGCTTTATGGCAAAAAATAACAATTTTTAGTTACAACCGCTAGATCAAATTATATAATCAATTTAGATATATGATGCTTTTGTATGAGCACTTAAAAATTAGTTTTTTTTTCCAACAATGAAGGTAATGTTTATAGGTGTCAAAATACGACCCGACCCGCAACCAGAGTCAACTATAACTCGATTGGCCCGCAACTCGATTAAACTTAACCCGATTAGTTCGACTAACATGTAACACAACTAACCAGAACCCAATTGGCTCGATGAACTATGAAATTAGGTTCATATGTTATTTCAATTAATTGTTCAATATTGTTAGAAATATATTAATGTACAATTATTGAATATTCTCTAGTAGTTTTGCAACATGTTTCATTAATAATCAAATTATTGACACTCCAAACTTTAATTTATGTTATTAGTATGCTAATGTTAGGATATTTTGAATCCAAAATAATTTATGAATAAAATCAATTATGACCTACTTTTCACATTGTTTTCCAAAGTTTGAAAATAAGTTTTTTACTCTTTGTAGACCAAAAATTTGTTAGCTTCCTCCCACTTTTCTTATAATATATCATGCATAGTTATATTTTTACTCTTCATTATGCACACGCAGTTGTCATTTTTTACTAGTAGTTTTTTAACCTAATGATAGAAACCGATCCTCCTAGGGTTTCTATTGTTGTTATTATAATTAATATTAGGATTACTATTAATATGATTAGTAGTCTTTTAGTCATATTAGGTTAATTGTTAGGTCTTTCAGTTCTATTTCTATTTCTATATATATGTACATTGTTATTCGTTTAAGAATAAATCAAGAATAATATTAGGAAAACTCTTCCAACACTAATCTCTCTCTATCAATGTCGTCTATCTCTTTTTTTTTTTTTGGTTGAAAGACAGACGCGAAGCGTCTAAATCACATTAGTGGTAAAACGTTCATGGGAAGTTCCCATTACATCGTGGCGAAGCCATTGGACGAGGTCCAAATCACACACATTGAAAGGATGTGTGCCAAAATCAAAGTCAAGTGCCTTGTTAGCCAAGTAATCGACGGAAAAATTAGCTTCCCTATACACATGAGAAACCTTAACCTCCCAATCAAGGTTCAAAAAATAACTAAACTGTTTAGCCAAGCTTCCATGTTGATGGTCGTCGTTATGGCGTTGATTGATGATCTCAAGAGCAGTCGAAGAATCCAGGTTAAGCTGAATCCTCCTGTACCCTCTCTGCCACGCGATCTTGAGTCCTTCCAACGCACCTTTAAGTTCGGCAGCAGTGATGGAACACGAGTCAAGGTTGTAGACAAAAGCACCCTTGCATTGGCCCAAGTTGTTTCTGAACAATCCTCCAGCAGCAGCTTTCCCAGTAGAAGTGATCACAGAGCCGTCAGTTTGCAGCTGGATCCATCCTTCATGAGGGGGAACCCAGCAGATCAATCTTTTGCAGCCTGCAGTCCTAATGATATTGGATGTCTTCTGCACGTTCTGGTGTGCCTGTTCCATAATGTGGAACCAGACTTTAATCCTGGCAATCAAACCATTCTTGCAGAATGCACGCCCCTCCACAGCTTCTTCATTCCTTTGTTTCCACAGGTGCCAGATGATGATGCCAAAGTCAGTAGCACTCTCTTCCTGAGCAAGGTTGATTAGCAGCTATTCTCTCAGCGGGAGGTTCATGCTGTTAGCGGAGACTTTGCAGGGAAATGATTCCCAAACCTCCCTAGCTTTCCTGCAGTCCCTCAAAATGTGTTCTATGGATTCTTCTTTATCCTTGCAAAAGCTACAAAAGCTGTTAGTGGTGAGATTTATTCTGCTTCTTTCCTTGTTGGTCATCAGTCTGTCGTGCATGACAAGCCAGATAAAATGCTTGATTCTGCTAGGACCCTTTTGTTTCCAAAGTGCTTTCCAGCCTCTTTCTGGTTCTCCCTCCTCCTCCTCCTCCTCAGAGCAAGGTTGTAAGCTGACTTCAAGCTGAACCGACCATCAAACTCCAGTCCCCAAATGTTTGTGTCTTCTCCTAGGTTTGGATTAGGGGCCTCCACACCTGCAATCAAAGAAAGGATGCAATCAGGGAGGACAGTTCTAAGCTTCCCCCAGCCCCACTCACCTTCCTCAGTGACCAGGTTGGCAACAACAGAGTCTTTCTCCTCTTCAGGAACATCATCAAGAGCAAAGTCCTCAAGGATGATGTCATTGTCAATCCATGCTTGGGTCCAGAACTTGGTAGCTTGGCCATCACGGATGCTCCAGCAGGTGGCATGTTTCATCAGATTCATTCCTTTGACCATGGCCTTCCACATATTAGAATGGTTGCTCTTCTTCATTGAAAGAATATCACCATTCTTCATCTTGAAATACTTCCCCTGCAGCACTTGAACCCACAGATCATCCTCCTTATTAAGCATGTTCCAGCCAAGCTTAATCATGTAAGCCATATTCATTTGTCTAGCAGATTTCAAACACAGACCACCTAGGTTTACAAATGTTTTTCCAAGAAACAAGATGAGCCTTCCTTTTTCCCTCCCCATAACCCCACACAAATGTCGTCTATCTCTTCTTCAAAGGCCTCGACCAATTCTTTCTATTCTTGGCCAATTTCTCAATCTCGATCTTTTAATCCCTAAATCTCCAATTCTCTTCAATAGTCCCTAAAATCCCAATATCAATCTCGATTCTGGACCCGATATAAAACAAGTTTCTATCACCTAACAACTTAACATTTTCTATTTAAAACATAAAATACACAAGGTTAATTTTAACATATTTTTAATGGTTAATTAAATCTTTTTTCACTTTGTTAGAGACTTAGAGTGAAATTTACAAAAGAAAATTCACTTACAATTTACCTTTATTATAAAACTACACAAATGAATTATATATTTCTAGGTTTAAGGTTAATTTTTTTTTACAATACAACATAAGTAACTTGATGGGTTGACCCGAATAACCCGCAACCCGACCGATTGTAACCTGAACTATTCGTAACCTGATTAACCCTAACCCGCTTTCCCCGTAACCAGATTAACTCGTAACCCGTTTGGCTCTTAACCTGATTAACCCATAATCTGCTTGACCCGCAACCCATTTCACTCGCGACTTGCTTGACCCGTGACCAAGGTTGTCAACCTACGGGTCGACCCAATTTGATCCTGACCCGGTGAGAAAAACGGGCCACACGCACCCGCCGGGTCGACCGTTGCAAGATACCGGGTTGGAGGTCAAATTGTATCATTTTTTTTCGTTGGTTTGCGAAATGCGCCTATTTTCCTATTTTGCTGTCTGCCTAACTCAATCTTTGGAATCCTAAGTTGAATATTTGAATATTGATGTTATATAAGTGTGTTGAATTTTCACTATATGTTGGATCTAAGTACGACTTGCTATTTTGGTGTAATATTATAAGTTATAACTCATATGTTATATGAGATTTGATATAATTTATTAGGATAAGTACAATATAATAACTCTTTTCATATTTCCGGGATAAGCGGGGCTAAACCGAGTGACCCATTAACCCTTAACCCACAAGCTCGATCGGGTTCGGGTCTACCCGCGGATTGACAACCTTGCCCCGTGACCCACAATTCGATTGAACCAATCTGAACCCGCCGATTGACTTTGACACCCACTGTAGTGTTGCTGCGTTGCTGGCACATGCGCACAGCTCTAAATATATATGAATTTTAATTAAAGGGTCTAATATAAAAAAAGCAAAGAAAATTAGAGAGAGAGAGAGAGGCAGAGAAGAAAAAGGACAGACACGGCAAATGGCGACCTAGCTCGCCAATTCAATTACTGCTGCCACCCAACAAAACCCGGAGAGAGAGAGAGAGAGGGCAGAGGAAGAAAAGCAGAAGTGTCTGCAGTCGCCTCCCCGCCATTGATATTTGATCATCATCCTCTGAGCTCCTCCCTCTCCGTTTCTCTTTTCTCTCCTCCGATTTCTTCTTCCGTTGCCAGGTGATTCTTTCTTATCCCAACTCGGCTGCCGTTCCTGCGTCTTTGTGCTTGCCAGTTTTGCAGTATCTTTGGCTGGCCGCGCGCAAGATTCCCCTTGACCTACTCCTCCAATCTTCCTCTCCCACTCTGTTTCCATCATCTTCTTCGTCTCGTTTGATTGATTGACTGAATCGCAACATAGTCATGTCTGGCTTGTACGCCCACAATTTCTCACCATCTACTGCAACTCCACCGCCATCTGCCGCCGCCGCCGCCGCTTCACCTCATCATCATCTTCCTCATCACCACCATCACCTTCCTAATCTTGATAACATCTCCAGGTACCGTAGTAATCCGTCCTCGATTCTCTTCTTCCTCTCCTGGCTTTGTGACTTGTGTATGTATGTATGTATGTATGTATGTATGTATGTATGTATGTATGTATGTATCTGTGATTAAGCCGGCCGCCTCTTTTATAATCAGTGTTCAGCAGCGACAGTTTTTGGCAGAGCTGTTGGAAGAGCACGACAAGCTCGGCCCTTTCATGGAGGTCCTTCCAATCTCCACCCGCCTTCTGAATCAAGGTCCCTTTCCCTCTCGATGTTCAATTCTAGTATGCCAATCTCCGATTAAATCTTATCAGCTGCGTTATGTGACCTGTTGTGTTGCCTTGCCTGCCGCGGTCCCCCAAAGAACAAACATCCATCTCTACATCGTTTCAATTGTGATTAAGTGAACGAAATCTCTCTTTTTCTTGCTCTTATCTCATGTAAGCAGAGATATTAAGGGTTTCTGGAATTGTCCCCAGCCAGCACCAGGGGCTCAGCCTCTATGGAATGCTTCAGCAGCGCCCGTCCTTAAGCCCTCGCCTGAGTGACGAATCTTCATGGAATTCCCTGCCTCGCCAGGTAAGTCATTTGAAAACCTCATTGATCCTGCCTTTATTAAACAATGGGTTTGTTGGTTGGTTCATTTGAGTAACCACTGGGTTGTTTCTTAAATTTGAAAAATGGTCTTGGATGTGGCAGCGATTGGGAGCAGAAGGGGTGAATATGGACTGGCAAGCTGCACCAACGAGCCCAAATTCTTATGTCGTGAAGAAGATATTACGTTTGGATATTCCGGTCGATAATTTTCCAAATGTAAGTTAGCTACCTATCTTGGATCGCTACTGCAGTACATATAATTTGGTATCTGAAATCTACCTCTACTAAATGTTGTGTTGTTTCTTCACAATCTGAGCATGCATCTAACAAGTCCGATAATTCTTGTGTTTGTGGAACTCTGAAGTTCAATTTTGTAGGTCGCCTCCTGGGGCCTAGGGGGAACTCACTAAAGCGCGTGGAAGCCACAACTGGTTGCCGTGTCTACATTAGAGGAAAGGGCTCGATAAAGGATGCTGAGAAGGTAACGAATCCTATATGTGCAATGGACTTGATATGTGTGATTGTAAAATCACCTAAATGATAAATGCTCATATAGTTGATATCCAACCTCTTGGCAACTGTACATCGCTTGGGCAACCTTTTGCAGCTCAGTTATGAGGACTAACTTTTCTTTCTATTTGAAATTTTGAAATGGATATCTAATTAACTATCATCATCTTCTATTGTTGTACTTTCGACTTGCACCATTTTTGTAACCAAGTTTCTCTTTAGATGGCTTTGGCTTATTTTATAATGAAAGTCACTATCTTTAAAAAAGCCTCTTCGCAAGTGAGGTTGGATATGTCAGTGTTACTTCTTCTTGCTTAAGCTGTTGTGCATTGGGTTACTTTCAACTGTTAGGTAGTTGCATTGATGTTTGCTTTGCTCTCTACTCCTGGACATGTCAGGAGGATGCATTGAGGGGGAGACCAGGATATGAGCATTTGAGCGAGCCTCTTCACATTTTAATTGAGGCTGAATTACCAGTTAACATCGTGGACATGCGTTTGAGACAAGCCAGGGAGATCATAGAAGAAGTGCTTAGACCTGTGGTATATGAATACTACTAATTCTTCATTCTATTTTGTTGACCCTTGTTAAATTTTGACTGGCATTACATTGGGGCCTTCATTAGCTACCCTTGTGTCATCTGCTAACTGGAGCCCCACCTGTACCTTTTGCAACTAATTATCTGTTCCATGTGTATATACATTCATTGAATTCTGGACAGGAAGAGGCGCAGGATCTGTATAAGAGACAACAACTGAGGGAGCTAGCACTGCTCAACTCTAGTCACAGGGAAGAAAGCCCTGGACCAAGTGGTGGTAGCGTCTCTCCTTTCTCGTCAAATATTATTGGAATGAAGCGTGCTAAAATGGGTCAGTAGTGTTTGCTGTGACCGAACTTGATCGCTATCGCCGAGATACTCGGTCATTCATCATCGAATGTTATTGCCAATTGAGCTGTCTATTCTTGTGTCTATATCATATGGTTTTGGAGGGGCGAATAATGCTTTGTTCATGCTGTGGTGTTAATGTTATTTTTGGGAAAGCTAGAGATAGGTTACAGATTACAACTGGGGAAACATAAAACATTGGCGAGGGAGTTTGTGGTTGGGAATAGGAAATAGAGGCTATAGGAATTCTTTTTTATTTCATTTGCATATACTGCTGTTGCTGTTGAGCAATTATTTGGATTGATTTCAGTAAGTTAAAAGTGAAAAAGTTCTCTTGTTATTCTTTTGTTTGAAGGTTTGGATTAACAATTATGTTGGATTGCAGCACAATTCTTAATTGTAGGAAACCCTTGGCTCTAAAGTAGTTGTGTAAGTGGTAGATTTGGTACCAGTGCCGACAGCTATACCCGGCAGGGCAACGGAATGATTGATTCTAAATCTGGGAATTTTCTACTCTTTGGCTGCAACCATCGACATTGCCCTATGCCACACAAAGTTGTCAAACCGGTGAAGCAGGTGATATGATATGACCGATAATACAATCTGTTTATTCTGGGTTTTAATAAAATACATGGAAAAGTGAAAAAAAACACCACACCCCTAATAAATTAATTCAGAAAAATCAATTATAAGAGTTAATTCACAAAATAATTTAATTTATATTAGAAATTGCTAATTGATAGTAAATAATTAAGAGATAAAAATAAAATATGTAAAATAAATGTATTCATGTTTACATTAATTTGTGTAAATATAGCATTAGTTAGATAATATATAAGGTTTATAAGTATCACAAAATTCATTGTAGCTTATTGGTATAGAATTGAAGCTATTAAACACTAGTGTCTTAATTGGCCTGTTGGCTGAAGAATTTAATTTTATCAATTATATAAGTCAATTTTTCTATATATTTAAAAACTTGTGTATCTTACTATCTTGTAGATATTTTATGTTCTTTGCTTCATTCCTGAGTATGCAGTATGTCTACGTTGAAATTTATTAATAATTAGTAGTTAGCACATTCGCTTATGATGCTTTGATTCTCTAATCATAATTCTTGTCGTGAAGGTTTATCACACCCATTTACAATTGTATATCGAAATTTGTAAATCAAGACACTCGAATTTGTTTTTTTTTTATGGTTCACTCAAATTTGTTATCTTATGCAACAAATATCAATTTGTGATTCTCGACTTGAGTTTAGACAAACTCTCAACCAATTATTTAGAGTTCAGATTATTATATAAAGATACATGATTATTGAGTCACTTTTGTTTCTCCCAATTGGATCTTGAAACTCATTGTACTCCTTATGATGGTTAAATTTTCTAATATTCACTTATTTTCGTTGTTGATGTTCATGAAGTCTCCGTATAGGGTACTATGATAAAATTAGTCTATCAAGACACTCAAATTTAGTATGTTATATATAGGGGTGGAGGTTCGGTTAACGGTTACCGGTAAATCGGTCGGTTAAACCGATAATTGGCCGGTTATCCACTAATCAGTAATCAATATAATCGAAATTTGGTCGGTTTTCGGAGGTTGGACGAGATTGTTTTGGTCTTGGAGGCGGCACGGTTAACAGATAACAGAGATAACCGAAGCCTATTTTGGTCGGTTGTCGGTTGGGGGAGGCGGCCTTTCGATTAACCAATAACCGACCGATTGACTATCGGTTATAACCGAAAGTAATCGATCGCCATCCCTAGTTATATAATATATATCAATTATTTATTTTTGAAGTTTGGACTAACCCTCAACCCATGGTCATGGTGGTTGCCTAGATATTGGCTTAGAATCTCAATCAAATACCCTCACATACACTATCAAGGGTTCTTGTCAAAACTTGTCCTTTAACGTATAATTTTACAACTTTTTAAATGTCATTTGTTAAAATTTTATTATCTTTGGTGTTTTTTCACAAAAAATTCACAACTTATATTAATAATTGATTAAGTGTTTGTTCACCTGCAAACCAATTCACCCGTCCAACCTGACACATCCCACCCGTATTTATTGTCAAAATTCAAGTTTAAACTTGGGTGAGGGTTTACTTTTGTACAACTCGCCTCTATTGGGTTGGGTGCGGATTTTGGGTAACGAAACCCGTAGAACCTGACCCAACTCTTGTTGAACTATGGTCACAAGTGTTCGTATCCAAAACATATTTGTGCAAAAATTAACATATTTTGTCATATTTTTCTCTTGTAGTTTCACTAGCCCAATGCATTCTCCAACTTGTAATTAGATGTAGATTTAGTATAAGTTACGATTCACATAATCTTTTTCTTGTGTACAATTTTAAAAAAACAATATATTATGAATATGTTAGCTTATAACCACTTTAGCTTATTTCGACAAATATTTATGAAAAAAACTAGACATATGTTGAAGTAAATTGCATTTCATTAAAATTCAAAACATCATTTATGCATATTGAACTTTTCGCCTTGATTTATTTGTTTAAAATTTCAATAAGTTATATTGATAACACCTAAATTGGTGTTATTTATCCTTCATATTTAGGTTTTTTTCGTGCTAATTTGTGAGCACAATCGGAAGAATATCGTTGATTGCATTCCTATTTCGTTCCTTTTTTATCATGTTGTCATTCTATGGGGCTTTACACGATACGTGTGAATTAGATACGGAAAAGGACACAAATGTTGAGAAATGGGCAAGAATATTGTATAGAAGCAAGGAAAGAAGTCAGAAATTACAAAGACCGCAAGGGCACAAGTTCTCGACCGAGAGGCAAGACCGCGAAGTTTCTTCAGAGATCGCGGGACAAGATCGAAGGGTTCCGTCCGCGAATCGGAGCGCTTTGACCGCGAACTTCAATAGTTAGCACATTTCAGTAAGACAGTAACTACCCCATCCTAGGCCAAGTTTAACCTTAAGTGACGTTGTCATATAGTGGCAATCAAGGTCGTATTCACTCGAGTCCCTGTATACTTCCCACGTTGTTATCTAGACGATCGGTTTAAGGGTTTGTGTTGGAGGATTCAAGCGAACTAACAAGTAAAGAGAGTAAATAAGGATAAAAGCAGGTACTTCAAGGAACTATCCCTCACCCTAGCCTAGGTCTACTATGCAATGTCTAGATAAGTAGGGTTTGTCGAATGTGGTGAGCGAGCTCTTTTCCGTGTACTTTCGTGGTTATCCAAACGCCTCCGACTACGCCTCTCCTAAACCCATATCAGTCACCTCGAGCTAGCCTATCGTATATGGGGCATTAAGAACTAGCTCATTTCAATGGGTACTACCACCGTCCACACTGAGGTTTCATCCCGAGTTTTATCTAGGAAGGCGTTCTTATGGCAGGGGTACGATCGCCTCGACCACCATTAGATCCTATTCATTCATATAACCTAATTTGCTTGATGGCGCATACCCTTATAACCCTAAAACTCCATACCCGACGTAGAAGCTCAAGTAGGCTAGTAGAGAAGATTAGAGCGCCGTACCCAAACAAAATCAACGCTAGAGAAACAATGAAATCAACTAGATAAACACATTCATTCATTAAAACTCTAAAATATCCATTCAGTACATAGTAATTCTAAAACTAGGGTTTGGGGTTTAGAAACCCTAGTACCTTAGAAGCTTACTCCATAAAGGAGGGAAGAAGATACATAGAAGAATTCTACAAAAAAAAAAAATATATACATAGAAGAAATTGGGGAAGACTTGATTTTGAGGGATATGGCTCCTCTCTTCTAGCTCCTCCTCCTTCTTCACCTCTTCTCCTTCCGTCAGCTTCTCTATCTTCTTTTTCTCTCTAACTAGAAATTTTATCTCAAAATCAACTTTCTTGAATGGGGAAGGGGGTTTTCTATTTATAGCATTCAGAGGTCGGAGAAGCGTGGTCAGGCGGTATGAAGATCGCAGTCGCGATCTTCTTTCTTGAGGTCGTGATCTGCCAACGCCGCCGTTTTGACATTAGTGCAGCTTCCACGATCAATCACCAATGTAAGTAATTTCCTATCCTCCGTGCACCTCATATGAAATAAGTTCTCTCATTTCTCAATCTCCTCTTTGCGTTGCACACTTAGAATCCTTCTAGATACGAAAAGGCTTCAGGTGGTGCCTCCATCTCTATTGTCTCATCCACTTCAGAATTCGAGTTTGCTTTCTCTTTTTCCTTAGAATCTGAGACATACTCTCCATTCTCCAACATGACTAGAGCTCTTCTATTAGGACATTGGTTAGCCATATGTCCTCTTTCATAGCACTTGAAGCATTGAATTCCTACACTAGAGCATGTGGGTCTCTCTTTTGGTACTTCACCTTTGGTGCCGGTTTTGGTGCCTCTGGTTTTGAGATGGCTGGCTTAGGGTTTGAAGTCGAAGGCACTCATGGCCTTGGTGCACTTTTGGGAGGTGCGAACCTTCCTCCAAGGTTGCTACGTTGATCCTTCTCTACTTTGGCCGCCATTGCAACCAAATCGTATAATTCTTTAATTGGTTGAATTTCCACCACGTTCCTGATTTCTCGATTGAGGCCTTGTTGGAACCGTGCAGTGATGGCTTTATGTTCTTCCTCTAGATAATCTCCAATCATTAGCATCTCCATCTCTTTGTAGTAATCCTCTACGCTTTTTGTACCTTGTCGTAGAGATTATAAGGCTTGATGCATATCCTTACGATGGTAGCTAGGAACAAATCTATCTCGCACGATGCCTCTCATCTCTTACCATGTTTCAATAGGGCGCTGCCTATTCCTCTTTCTCCTTGTGCAAATTTGATCCTACCATATGATAGCATACTTCGAAAACTCTAATGTTGCCATTTGAACTTTCTTCTTCTCGGAGTAGTTGTGATATTTAAAGATCATCTCCATCTTCCTTTCCCAATCAAGATATGCTAAGGGATTGGTGGCGCCTCTAAACGATGGAATGGTGACCCTTACGTTTCTCAACTCGTCTTCAACTTCTCGTGGGTTGGCATCATCGTCATCATACTCGCCTTCCTCGTCTTGCAGTTGAGGCTAGCATCTCCTTTCTCGAGGCATCCCCAAATGGTGATGGTGCCTGATTTGCTCGACTAAGGGTTGCTGAAAACCCTCCTTTCTCCTTGTTTTTCTTTCCTCCTAGCCCATTCAATATTAGGGTTAGGGTTTGGTTCTTCTTCTCCCTAGACCTCTCATTATTAGGGTCAGGGTTTGGCACATCTTTCGCATGAGGTTGGGGCTCTTGTAGCCTTGCTTCGAGTGCCCCCATTCTTGTCTCGATCGCCCTAGTATGCTCTGGCAATTGCGCTTCAATTCGTGTTGCATGTACCTGCAACAACTTCCTCCTTCAAGTTGCTTCATCAAGTTGTCGTCCATGCTTGCCTTCCAAGAAAACAAATTCCTCCGTCAAGAGCTCGAACAAGATTGCTTCAAAATGCTTCAAGAACCTTTCCTTCTTCCAAGTCCTTCAAGAACTTCACAATACTTCCAATAACTCAACCAAGAAGCTTCAAGAACACGTAAAGAACTTCAAGAAACTTCTTCTTCTCTACTGCAGTTGAACTGGGCTCTGATACTACTTGATGTGACCAAAGTACGCAGCTTCAATGATCTTTTATGATTTTCTTGATGTTGCCTTTCTTGAACTCGAAAATAAAGATAAGATGTAATCAATCGGACAATCCCAACTCGTGATAAAGGGCAATTGGTATATTAAACCAATCAGACATAATGAACTCGTGGAAATGGGCAATTGATATAGGTGATGCTCGCCACAACTAGATGCGTTCTCTAGTTGATAAGAGACACGTGAAAACTCCCGAGATCCCCGACAGAAGCTTGCACAGAAACTCATTCGTATTAAACTCGAAACTTGACTTTTATTGATTGAAAAATTAATGAATTGCAAGCTAGAACTTATCCCTATTTATAGACTATATAAAAAAAATCCAAAAGAAACAAAGAAAGCAAAACAAATGCTTAGATGCTACAACTAAAAGGAAAACCTATTTTGACCCATTCAACCCCTTAAAACATGCCTTAAAATCCGTCCCCTTTCATTCCGTTCACACTTGAGATCCCTTTCACACCTTCAAATGCCCATTCTTCTTCTCTTGGCCGTCACCATCTTCCTCCAAGCCCATTTGATCTCCTTCAACGAATTGTAACACCATGATAGGTTTCCAATGTGCTTATCCATATCCATATGCTCAAAGTGACGAACCAAATAATTAGCAAACTCTTCGCTTAACCTCTTAGCTTGAAAACGTGTAATTAGACCTTCATGTGGTGTTGTGGGTTTGGTCTTGATGGCCTTATCACATAATTTTCACAATGACTATTATACTCTTTCATTGATTTTACACTAGGTCAACTCAACTAATAAAAAGTAATCACAATCCTAGATTCCTATTGGTTGGACACTAGTGTTGTAACTCTAACAACAAAATAGGTGTTGCCACCATATTCTCTCCCATGACAAAACGGGGAGAAATACCTTAGATACCACTTAACTTTTATAGTAGGAGGATGGGAACCATTGAAGAAAAAATAGGGCATCAAATATCATGAAAGTCTACAAATTGTACATTCGTCCAAATTTCATCCAATTGACAGTGCAACCAGAAGTCGTCGATCTAGTTTGACAGCTTGAGAATGTCCAAGACATGGTCGACTCCTCTCTAGAGTTCGATGGACGCGCCACCAGGTTCTTGCCACTCTTCTTTTCATTATTGAATTTACTTTCCACGCCATATGATTCCGGGTATATGATCTTCCATCGTGAGTCATGACTAGAACGAGTGGTAGAATTATCAGAGCAACTCATTCGTGTGGATCCTGGATGAGAGCAATTGTCTTCAAGCCAAAGTCTATTCGCAACGAGGTAATCGAATCAATCAATTTTTCCATACTCTTTCCTTGAAACTTATGTTCGTTTTAGGAATTCGAGATTTTCAAGTGTAGTTTGATTAGGGCTTGTTCCAATAGCTTGTATGAATACATTGCGAAAGATAAGGCACAATTTGGAGTTAGCTTGGGCTTATTCATCAATTGCTTGTGTACACTTAATGTTCACAAGGCCAAATGATTGATTTACCCATTCAAAGCAATTTGCGCGAAGGGCTTTCTTTAACAGAATATATCATTTCTTGCTATGGGGCCCGAAAAGGGGTTGTGGATACGGCTGTACGAACATCAGATGCTGGATATCTTACGCGCAGGCTTGTTGAAGTCGTTCAACACATTGTTGTACGTAGAATAGATTGTGGTACTACCCGAGGGATCTCTGTGAGTCCTCGAAATGGGATGATACCGGAAAGAATTTTTATCCAAACTTTAATTGGTCGTGTATTAGCGGATAATATATATATGGGCCAACGATGCATTGCTATTAGAAATCAAGATATTGGAGTTGGACTCGTTAATCGATTCATAACCTTTCGAACACATGCAACTTCTTGTCGAGTTCGTATCTCCATCTCTATTTTCGATTAATTTCTAGCATCTCTTTGTCTATACTCTATTGTGAAGAAAAAAGAGTGGTGGGAACCCGAGGACTCTTCCAACAGACCATAGGGAGAGAGTCGACCATGCTTGGAGTTGGACGTTCTCGAGTTGACAAACCAGATGGGAGGTAAAAAAAAATAACTTACGATGAATAAAGGGTTTCCGTCCCGGTGATCTTCAGCTGTTTTCCCCTTTTTTTTTTTTTTTTATATTTCAAAATGTTAATGAAGGACAGTTTATTTAATAAAAAAAATAAACCAATCCTAATCTGCCATGTAAGCAGGTTGAAAGGACGGGGAACAACCTAGGTTGGAGCTAAAAATTGCTCCTGCAACTGGGTCAGCCTAAGCCCAAATAGGCAGCGAGGGTGTTATTACTTATCAGAGGAAGCAAAGAGAAGAGAGGATTGAAAGTCGCCTGTGATTGCAGAGATCAGGAAAAGAGGAAAGCGAAGGGGAAGGGGAAGGGGAAAAAGAATAGAGAAAAGATGGGGAAGCAACCCGTGAGGATGAAGGCTGTGATTTACGCGCTCTCCCCTTTCCAGCAGAAGACGGTTTCCGGTCTCTGGAACGATCTCCCTTCCAAGATCCACCACAAGGTTTCCGAGAATTGGCTCAGCGCAACCCTCCTTCTCGCTCCCGTCGTCGGCGTCTACTCGTATTCCCTCTCCCTTATTTCCACTTTCCGATTCCTTCTTGTTTCGTTGCGCTGATGTTTCTTGGAAACCCTAGTTCTTGCTTGATGCCGACGATTATTTTTATTATGAATGGCTGAGTAAGCTTCGTCGAGATTGAATCGAATGCCGCTTGAATCCCCTAAATTTCCAGATTTCCAGATCCCCTTTAAGGTTTCTTGTGTGTAGTGTGGGTTTTGAATGCTATATGGTGTCTTTTCGTGGGTCAAGGTTTCTTGTGGGTGTTAGTGATAGAGAACCTATTATATGAATCACGATTCAGGGCCCACATTTTCCTTGCCCTAGGTTTCATAACTTTTTGGCTCTCTTGAATCAGTTCTCCAACCTTGTCTTTTCGTATTTTGTGTGGTCGTAGCTGTGTTATATGTTTGCGATTATCTGTAATGAGTGGGTTTTGTGTGCTCATATACACCTCTTGTCATTCACTGTTAGTCCTTGTCCTGATGCCTTCTTCGAACAGAATGGTTCCCGTATATGAACTTCCAACTCATGTTAATTGTGGAACATACTTCATCTTCATATGTAATCAAGCCAGCTATCATATTGGCTATCTTGATTCATTGAATTGAGTACGATGAATTTTCTTTTTCTGGGAATTATGAGCTCTTTCTGTAACCTTTAGTGGAAGAGTTACGCGCAGGGGTTCCTGCATCAGAGGCTAATTCAACTAGCCTATTAGATTGTCAGGAATGAATGCTAGTTTGCAGTATGCATAAAAAACTGCAGATTGTGAATGCTCTTATGTATTTCCTTGTGGTTTCCAACTATTTCGGTTTCAGTTGTCTATGGCAGCGAGTTTCCGAGATAATTCATACAGTTTTCCCCATCTTAAAAGAATGAAAATTGTGCTGCAAGAGTGAATACTTTTAGAGTTTAAATAAAAGAACTTGCTGAAGTCTTTCCTGATCTGTATGTGAGGAATTTTCTTCCTTACCCCTCTTTTGTCCACTGAATCATACATAACATATCTAGTGGGTTACCCCCCTTCCTCTCCTAATAGGCTTTATAGCTTCTGTACACCGTCACTTCTTTCCCTCAAGTTTCCCATGCTGCCTTCTGTGTACATACAAGTGATGAACTGCTTAATTCCCTGCTGTGTGGTTAGCAACTGTTTGTTCCTGTTATGAGTAAGACAATACTGGTAGCAAAATGAAATACATACCTAGTACTAGGTGTACACTGCTCTCGATGTGGTAACAGCTCCTCTTCTTACCATGTTCTTCTTTTCTTTCATGTTTGTTAACAGGTATGTCCAGCACTACCAGGAAAAAGAGAAGCTGGAGCACAGGTACTGAGCTCATGCATGTGGTGGAAGAAGACCTTTCCAGTTTTCACTTTTGCCAAATAATTTTCTATGAGGAGAAAACTGTGCTTGCAGTTGTTGAAAACCTTTTTTCTTTATATGGATTATTACGCTAATGTTTAGCCATCTTTTTGGTATATTTTGCCTTTGAATTGCCGGTGTGGCAGGGATGGTGCTATTTTAGCTATAAAACTGTAGTGGAAGTTGTCTCTGAATTTGATTGGAAATTAAATAAATGGTTTGATATGGGGTGTTAGTCTGAAAATTGTGAAGCAAGACTTGTTTATTAGGATAAACTTTTGAAACCTCGAAACAGGGTTCCATAGGATCTTCAACATATTTCTTTTTCATTGTGTTTGTGCTTTTGCGTTGTACATGCTGACCGTTGTCATTGATGGCCACAGAAGTTGATTTTGCTTGATTCTGGTTTCTGCCTTGGCAATGCATAAACAATAAACCACAGGGAATTAGATGACCAGCTAAGATGGGTGTGGTGCCCAGAATCTCGTCTCATTGGCATATACGACCTTTCGATTTTAAAAGGAGTCCTTGCGATTATGGAGCAAACCTCCCAGACAGCCTTAAGATTCATGTCGTCTTTGGGGTCGTTTGGAAAATATGAGTTTAAATCTATAGATTGTCAACAATCTAAAGATTCTAACTTTTCGGATTGTTGAAACAGATTTTAAAATATTTATTGTTTGGTAACAGTGATTGTTAACATTCAATTAAAATAAAAATTTTAATTTTATAATAAATAACATGTTTATCCTTAATAAAAAAAAATTAGAGCGGTTCGAGAAATATTAAAAACTTTATTGATAAATATATTTCATGTGATAAATAAATAAAATGAAGAGAAAAACTAGGAGATAAAAAACTTCACGAATCAAGATATAGAATCTCTCTGATTATGAGAGATTTGATATCCACAGATTTTAGAGATTTGAAATCTCTAAAACTAGAACCCATAATACAAAAAACAACAAAAAAACATAATTTTCTATAAAATCTACGGATTCTGTGAATCCAAGGCCAAGACACTATGGGAGGTTTCAGCTACTTCTGTAGGGTCATGGGTTTGGAGGAAGATATTGAAGCTCAGGGCCATTGCAGGGAGATTTATTTCTGGTGCTGCTAACTCACTTATGTGGGATGACAAACCTATGAAGCGCTATTCGGTTTCCACAGTCTGGCGCAGTATCAAGGAGGCTCACCCCCAGGTGGGTTGGACGGAGTTAGTTTGGGGTAAGTTTCTTATTCCAAAGTATAGTGTCTTGGCGTGGATGATTATGCAAAACAAGATAACCACGACGGATAAGCTAATCAGATGGGGGAAGTCTTTTCCTGGTAGCTGTGTTTTATGCCCGGGAGGGATCGAGGATAGGGATCACCTGTTTGGGAGTTGCTCGTTTTTTCAATTCTTACTGCAGGTTGTATTCTCTGAAGCGCCCCTTGTTGGGTTGGTTGACTGGAGTTCTACCATGGCTTGGGCGGCATGCTGGTGGACTGGAAACTCGGATCGTACTCAGGTTGGGTGGTTGTTGTGGAGATTGGTATTGGGTCATGTATGGAAGGAGCGGTGCCATCGATGGTATGGAGAAGGTGGAATCTGTACACCTCATCAAATCATGTCTCGTATCAATTTTGAAATCTATTGTATAGGCTCTTCGAATCCACAGATTATACCACATATAGATAGTTTCTTTCATAGTTATAGAGAGTTGAGATAGGCTTGAGGTGATATATTAGTTGTACAAACTGGTTTTTTTGAGAGGATCCCACGTTTTTGGGAATCCTGGAGCTTAATGGAAATTTTTGATTTACATAAAAAAAAGTCCTGAATCCTGTTCTCCAAACGAGCCCTTTATGTTGTTCAATAGCTAGTCAAGCTTCTCAACCAAGAGCTAAATCCCCGAAAATTACAGTGAATGCCATTCCATCTGGCATCTATAAGTTTCTATACTAGTTAATGCTGTCATACAGTATTACAAGCACACGTCAGGGATTTTTTTTTTTTTTGTGAACTACCATCTTCTATTTACAAGCTTTGATTAAAAGATAAAAGGCCTCCCAAACACATGGTAAAACCTAGAAGAGAAAAAAATGGTCGATAATACTGTCGGACATCGAGGGGATTACATTCTCCTTTGCATGATATCCATCTTGTCGTCGTATGTGCTTAACGGGATGGAAAGAAACCTGGCCTCGCCATTGCATGGACTACTGTTTCTGGCGTTCTTGATGAACATGTTCATGCCATCATACAAAAGGCTTACATGACATCGAATGATGAAGAATTTCATACCAAATGAAAGCTTGCAGCAGCTATCCCCAATATGAAAACCTATTATCAAATGAAAGCAAGTGCAGAGAAGCCATCAGGGAGACAAAATATTTAAGCCAACGTGCATTGAAAATACGGCAAAAGCAGCATTTGAGAAACAGGGTAAATAAACAATAGTAGAAGACTATCCACATTAAGCCATGCTCAAACCACAGGACAAAAGGATGCCAATGTCTCTTTCAAGGTAAAACTACGACCAAAGACAGGAGAGGACTAATTTCAGGAAAATTTAGGCTCACATACCAATTCCCAAGAAGATATATCTGAGATCAGTTGTTGCAGCCTTCCTTCACATTGCATTCTTTACATCTGGATATCGGCACAATAACATTCTGAAGGTGCTAAAGAAAACGATGATTTAGCACTTATCATCAGTTTAGACCATCAATATTTTCCAACTTTCAGTTAACGTCAGATAATCATCTTTAAAAGGTGGGAGAATCAGATCATAATTACAGACTGGATAAATGGCTGTAGAAAAAGTTCTGAGCGCACAACTCTAGAACAAAACCAGAAAAAGCAGAAGGATTTATTTCTGATACGGTTCCAGGACAACAATTTCTGACATTGCATATGAAAAATAATGTTATTGTGAACAAAGGAGAACAAAGTATGAACAGAGGCACCTTTTCTGGCACTCTTTGCAGTCAGAACTCAGGAACACTTCCTGCAGGGAACAAAGGAGAAAAATTAAACACTGATGGTCCTGGCCATCTCACACTCCACCCCAATGAGAAATATGCATAAAACAGCAAAGGGGTATCGCGAATAGAGAAGACAATTCAAACGCATAGAAGCACCAACAATTTGTGCTTTAAAAGCAAAAGCATATATAACAGGATCTACAAAACAAAGGTCCATATGACAAATTATTTCCTAGACACCCTTTAATTGAAATATTTGGGTCAGAAAAGGCACGAGTGCAACATGATGGTTTCATTTGACCTTTCTTTGACAGCCAACGACATAGTAAGACATGTAATATCTGCTACTAACTGTAAAGTAAAAGAAAAAAGTCATGGCATCTAGCTTAATCTTAAACATAGTTCTTGAGACAGGTGCGGTAAAAAAAATCCTCCAAGTGAAAACATGCATTGCAGTACTTTTTCTTACTCAAACAATTATATTCTGAATGCTATAAAAGCAAAAGTGCATTGCCAACTTACAAGAATCAGGTCACCAGCTGCAAGACCTGTCTTCTTCATCGCAATTATTCATCAGAGTGCTGCTATAGTTGAATCAGCGCAATCAAGGGCTCCATTCATTTTCGGGATCACATGGAGTGATAGGTTACAGAGTCCAGCTTGCAATTCAGCCCGTGCGATGAGTGAATTAACCACATCTCTAATCCCTTCAACTACTGGACAAAATAGACTCCAACAAGCTTAATTGGTTTGAAGAGAATGATGGCACCTTCTTCCTGACCAATGTCATGACCATCCTAGCCTTGTCAATCTTCTCATTCTTCTTTAAGGCAATAAGTAGCGCAGAAATAGAATCTACGCTCAAGAACCAGTTCTTTCTCATACAGGCAGTACACATCTTATATGCCAAATCAAGCTCCCCACCCTCACACAAATAATGCACCATTGTCTGGTATATTTTAACATTGGGCTTAAACCCCCTTCCATGCAATGCAGAATATACCCTTTTTGCCATCTCAGGATATCCAGCCTGGAAAAAACCTTTGATAACTAAGTTATAAGTAATCTCATCTGGTATGACCCCAACTCTTTCCATTGAAAGCATAAGATCATTTGCTTTCCATGCTTGTCTCCTGTTCACCAAATACTGGATCCTAACATTAAAAGTTGCAAGATTTGGTAAGCAACCCTTAAGTACCATAAGGTTCCACAAACCGTTACTGATTTCTAACCTGTTCTTTCTGTAAAATGCTGCAATAAGTGTGGTGTACGTGATAACATCTGCCCTTATTCCCAACTTTTCCATCTGCACCATGATTGAAAATGCCTTGTCCAAAATCTCCATTTCACAAAAGGCCTTAATGACAATGTTCATTGAATATGTATCTAATTCTATATCATACTTCTCAGGAACCTCATTCAGAAATGTTTCGATTGCTGCTATGTCCCGGGCTCCTGCCAAAACTTTAAGTGCAGCATTGAAAGACTTAGCAGTCCTTCTACACTTATAAAAATGCATATCATAAAAGGTATTGATAGCATGCTTAGCCATCCCAGCCTTCCCATACAACATTATTATCCTTACGATGAACCCTTCACGTCGCCCTTGTGGAAGGGACTTTTGTTGCTCAAGCAACTCTTCAATGTAATCAAATCGTCGAGCACCAGCTAAGCGAGAAACAGTGTCTTCAAATGCAAACCGATTCTCAATGACAAGCTTATTTCTAGCATTGGCCTTGAAAAGATCAAATAGCTTTTCAGGATCTCTCTCAGCCTTAAGCTTAACAAGAGCAGGTTCCTCCAATGGTTTTTGCTTCACGATGGGATAAGATACAGCAGAACAGTTTCCAGTTGAGGCAACAGCAGCAGAGTAATGGAAAAATCTGCGAACAGATCTCAGTGAGAGCATGTTCTGAATTGTTCTTCAAGTAGATTCATATCCATGCAAGCTCAACGTTCTAAGGATCAGTGCCAGGAACTCTTCAGTAGGCATTTAAGAAACAAAAATCTGGAAGACATACAAGCCAAATCAATTACCATCGAGACTCCATCAAACTAATGCATGACCATCTATGAAGCATCATCTCCAACATAGTATTAACGATAGTTCGACCAAGAAAGAGGGAGATAAAACAGCAAACGAGAAACAACTGTATCCAGAAGCACCAACACCAGCTAAAGTATCAATGTGTCAGCCATTCAGAGGAAGTGCTTTAAATAAAACAAATCACAAGCAAGTACATCTAAAACAAGATGTGCAAATTCCATATTGAGCAGAAGACAAGCTTGTTTAAACAGATGACAAACTATACTAGATCTAAATCACAAAAAAGGACAATGTGTACTGAAAGCAAGCATCGTCTCAAGGATGTGGTCTCGCAGGTATACGCACCCAGGAGATCAGCCATCCTCACAAGAAATAGGGTTGCATAGAGATATCAGTTTCACCCACCCATAAGAAATTTTCGGCCGAAACATGAATATACTCCCGAAAGACAACAGATTGGTTCTAAGCATTGCTTCATCATCATCTAGCCACCAAGTGCGTTCACTGCAATCCCTCACCGGGAGCTCCAAATTGAGCATAACAGTGAACCCACTACTTCAAAGGACAAGCAGAAAACGCAAAAAAGAAAGAAAAACGAACAGCAAAATACAAACCAAGCAAATGCGGAGAGTTCCACATATAAAAAAGACGATTACACGCGAAAGCAAGCAAAGATTTAGTGATTACCTCTTGGAGAGAAGACTAGGGGTTACTCAATAAGAAGAAAACAGCCGACGAGTTTCCAGGTGCTGCATTAGACCCAACAGCAGAAGACGTCGGCGACTCGTTGGGAGGTCAGGCCAGAGAACGGCCCGGAGAAGACAATGGCTACAAATGCGGAAAAGTGCGTTTTAGGAAGAACAAGGCGGGGAATGTAATGAATTTGCCGAGGAGAAAAGGGGTTTGGATTAACAGAAGGAGGAGGAAGGATGAAGGAATTAAATGAATGAATGAGAGTAGGCCAACTCGTCATTCATCAATTTGATGGATGCAAGAACAGCCAGCAGAGCCGGAGAAGCAAAACTCTAGTAGAAGAGAGTTTTTTCTTTTTCTCTTCTTTCTTGGACGAGAACCTGCACACAGAGTCCCGACTCTGGAGTCTCGACTCAATAGGGTTTTGGGTGCCGAGATGGCGCCGTTTGTTACTTTGTTATGTCGTTCTTGGCTAAGCGCTCAACTTTCCGAATCCGGCTTTCTATTTTGGCTAACTAGCACAATATCGGCCGGTGAAGAATTTTGTCTAGTAATATGGTATATGATCATTGATATAATAGATGATTTGAAATATATGAAATGATTATTTTATACCTTAGTTATGCACATAACATTTTGGAAAGTGATCCAACTATTCATAATATGTTTAGACCTTCATGAAAAGATAAAAAATATAATATAAGCATTATTTATAATTATTGAATGAAAAAATATATAACTAATTTTCATTCATTACTTAATTAAACCATATAGTTGAATATTAGATTTGTTACTCATTAAGTTGATGAACGAGCGAGGATATGAAAATAATATTATATGAAATATATGTTACTCATTAAGTTGATGAATGAGCGAGAGTATTGATAGCATACATTTATTTTAAAAAGATAGAAATTGCATAGTTTCTTTTGAGTTGCATGAGAACGCATATTCTCATTATCGCTAACTGACTTATGCTTTTTGCAATAGATAGTTCAAAATGTGCCTTAAAACTTTTGTTTCCACCAGTGTAAAAGAATTGTTTGAACCAAAGGATTGTAAAATCGTGTCGAAAAAGTTGGTAGTAGAGTATTTTAGACACTCTATTTGTGTGTTTGTGCAGTCTTATGATAAACAGTTATTTGTACATGCTATGCCCCACTAATCTTGAATTGTTTGAGAGTTGATTCTTGTGTTTTAAGCTGATTTCGCGATAGGTTTTTCTTTTATGTCATATTTCAGGACCTAGAGCGGAAAGGAAGGCTTGGAGGCGAGTTTCGGGTCAAAAACACCAAGGAAACGGAAGGAGGAGTGCAAGGGGAAATGGTTTAGAGGCCGGGGAATCGCTCCAGGGATTTTACCCGGTCTTGACCCCCAGTTCCCCGACCGGGTAATTTCAGAGGGAGACCAGGTTTTACCTAACAGGCTGCGCACCTTTTTGACATTACCCGACCGGTTTACTTAAAACACGACCGGGTAATTAGACAAGGTTTAGGGCATGAGAGCTGTTATATGTGAATTATGGGTTCTTTTTTAATGAATCAAGTTTTGGAGAAAGAAAGTGAAACCTAGAGAGAAAGCGACGAACAAAACCTCCAAAGTGACTTAGATCGAGTTTTGCCGCCATTGGAGCTCGATTGAAGCTTGGAGAAGTGTCGATTGACGACCAGAAGCTGAATTTCATCCTCCACATAATGATTTCTGCATCTGAAGCTGATTTCTCTTTTTTCTCTATGGAGTAAACTCTCTCTCACACCTGGGTATGAATAACCCTAGATTTGTATAGATTTGGTTGTATGAACCCAAGTACATGATCTTTTGACATTGATTATATTCAATTGAGGCATGATTTTCTGAATCGCATGAATCCTGATGAAATTCCTGTAGTTTCTGCTTTGACCTAGAAAGAGAATATCTGCCTAGGTTGATAGAGCACCCTTAATTGAAGGTGGAGAATTGACTACTTTAGTCGAGGAGTCAATTCTCTGCACTGTACTGGATTTACTCCAGTAGAAGAGGTTTTGCACGTTAGGGCCTCAGTTTGTTTACTCCGGTGGATGTTAGTCGCCTGTCAGGTATTTAGATTAAGAGGGTCTGGAGACTTCAGACTGAACACGAACCTTCCGCATTATAATTGTCATTAAATATGGACTTGGTGAATTAAAACTCGGCATAAATGCAATCTAGGGGGAACCATATCTGGGTGACCTCTCTCAAACTTGAACCACAATCTTTACTCTTTGCGGTTTGTTTAGACTAGTTACAACTTCACTACCTTTAAACAGCTAGATAACGAGAATTCACGGAGTAGTCATCACATCTAGGACCCAGGTTGGCAAATAAAGCTAAACCCGCTATACTACGCATTAGTAGGTGGTTGCACTTGGTCATTTTCTAGTGTGACGGTACAGGCGAGTCATGTTTTTGGTGCCGTTGCCGGGGATGGCTAGGTTGTTGAAGAAACGTGATTTGTGTTACTTTAGTATTTCTTTTCCGCATTGATTGGTTTACTTTGTTCCACTTTTGCCTTCACGTGTTTGCTTTCTTAGCTGTGTGCAGGTAGTGCATGACCCCTAGCCAGTCGAAGCATTACTACCGTTAGATCCGGAGCTAGAACACACTTGTCGTCAGCTTAGGAGAGTACAGGGAGCGAGACTAGCTACGGCAGAAGAACGTGTTGACGGTCGGATTAGCAGCAACTCCGAGCAGGAGGACGACATGGGAGACAAGAACAACCAGATGAACAACTTGAATCAGGGACAGCCCCTGGGGATGCCCCTCCAGGTCCCTCCGGGGAATCAAGTCCCACCTAATGGCGCCTTTCCGCAGGCGGACGCTGCCAACCATCAACCACCTCCCCAGGGGCCCACTATGGAGTACTTCTACACTCCACGGATTGTTAACATCCGCCTAGTCATCCAGTATCCGCCCATCCCTGCCAACAACTTTAAGATCAAGCCATGTTGGATCTAGTTGATCAAATCTTTCATCCAGTTTCATGGTCTCAAGGATGAAGAAGCAAGGGTGACCCTTTCTTGGTTCTTGCAGCTGACCAATGGGTTCAAGCTATACGGTGTCCCAGATGACGTGATCTGCCTTCACCTCTTACCCCACTCTTTGGTGGGGGCATGCGAAGAGGTGGCTAGAGACTCAGCCGCCATTGTCCATCACTTCTTGGGACGATCCGGCAAAAAAATTTGTGCACAGGTGCTATCCGGTCTCGAAGACTTTGGAGATTCAGCGGGAGATCACTCATTTATGCCAAGAAGATGACGAGTCACTGCGAGATGCTTTGGAGCGATATTCAGAACTGTTCTGGAAGTGTCCCCATCACGGCTTTAGTGATGCATTCACTGTGGGGAACTTCTATAGTGCCCTGTCTCCGGAGATTGGCTGCACCTCTGGTAGCCCAGTGCCAGTGGTGTGAAAGTTCAAACCATTTGGGGAAGGATTGTCAGGCTATGCAGGAGTCCTCCACCACCAGGAGCAGTTGGACTTCATCGCCAATGCACGGCGCCTTGACCTCTACAGTGGTATCTATAATGAGGGGTGGCGGCAACATCTCAATTTCTCGTTGAATGGCAACAACAACAACACCACCAAGCCTCCCGGATTTACTGCACTAGCTGGTGATTTTCAGGAGATGCAGCAGTACCAGACCCGACAGGGTCCATTTCCGCAGCAGCAGCCGTTACAGCCCAGACAGGGGCAACCCTTCCAGCAACGGCAGAGGCAATTCCCACAGTCGGCAGCAGCCCCAACACAAGATGACCAGATGTCTGAGCTTAAAAATATGGTGACGGCTTTCGTGAGCACCAACACAGAGAAGTTTGCCAGGATGGACCAGTTCATGGAATTCTCTATGGGGAAATTCAAAGCACCTTAGGCAGGCCAGAGAAACTAGAGTGCCATTTTGCAGGACCTCCAGAACCAGATTGAATGGATAGTCCGCACAACAGCACCAGGGTACCGGGAACTCTAACTGCCAACACCATCCCAAATCCTCGTGAGCCTCACCAGCAGTTGGATGACATTACTATTAGAAGTGGCAAGACGACGTTTGCTGTTCCTGCTCCGGTCAGGCAGGATGAACCAATACCTGCTCCAGCACTTCTAGCTGAAGATGAAGGGGTGGGGTTAGAGAAGGAAGCGCCTGCTCCCAAGCCACAACCAGTGGTTAAGGAGCATGTCCCCCAGCTTCCCTTCCCCACTCGTATGCACAAGGACAAGCTGGAGACTGAGTTTGAAAAGTTCATGAAAATGTTGAAACATGTCAACATCAGCATGCCGTTCGTGGAGGCACTGTCGAAGATGCCCAAGTACGCGAAATTCATGAAGGACCTTCTCACCAACAAGAAGAAACTTGGGGATCTATCGAAGTGATGCTGAGCGAGGAGTGTTTTGCAATACTACAGAACAAGCTGCCATAGAAGCGCAAAGACCCATGGAGTTTTACTATCCCTCTTGTTATTGGCAGCATGCATGTAGGAAAGTCCTTGGCGGACGTAGGTGCTAGCATCAATGTCATGCCTTATAAACTATTTAAGAAGCAGGGCCTAGGTGAACCTAGAACCACTAGGATGAGTATTCAATTAGTATTCAATTAGTTGATCGATCGCTTGCGCATCCTAGGGGTATCATAGAGGACTTGCTTGATAATGTGGATGCATTCACATATCCTGTTGATTTTGTTATGTTGGATATAAATCAGGATCTGGATGTGCCTTTGATTTTGGGTAGACCATTTCTCGCCACCGCCAAGGCGTTGATTGATGTGCATAGTGGCAAGTTAATTTTGTGAGTTGGGGATGAACAAGCTACATTTTTTGTGTCTGACAATGTGAAACATTCCCATATGCATGATGACTTGGATTACTGTGACATTTATGCTGAGTTTGAGACCGCACTCGCCATCACGAGTGCGGGTAATGACGATGTCCTTGAGCATTGTATTTTGCTAGGTGAGCAGGCATCGCATGAGCTGGATCTGGAGGAACAGTTGGTTGTGCTAGAGCGTGGCGAATTCCTGGAGGTCGAAAAGTCGTTCAAACCGATCTCATCCTCGACTCGTATAACCACCGCTCTAGAGGAGCCACCAGAACTGGAGCTGAAGCCCCTCCTTCCTCACTTGGAGTATGCATTTCTCCGAGAGGGGAACAAGCTTCCAGTTATCATCAGCTCGATCCTCACACCCTATAAGAAGACCAGACTGGTGGGCCTGCTAAAGCAGTATGAGCGAGCTATGACATGGAAGATCACCCCTTCCTTATATTCCCACCGGATATTGCTGGAGGATGAGATTCGGCCGGTGAGAAATCCCCAACGGAGATTGACGTCGAACCTGTAGGCTGTGGTTCGAGCAGAGATTATCAAGTTGATGGATGCGGGAATCATCTTCGCCATTTATGACAGCGAGTGGGTCAGTCCCACTTAGGTGGTGCCTAAGAAGGGTGGGATGACCGTGGTCCCAAATGAGAAGAATGAGCTCATCCCGATGCGCACGATGACCGAGTACCGCGTCT